CTTCCCTGTATGGGGAGTGAGGTGGAGCCATATACCTGCTCAGCGTGCTCCTGATGTCCTAAAGGAGAGAAAAAACCAGAAAAGTGAGCTAGTGCCGTGCGCCACACCCTGGGGACCCACTGCCCAAGGGGACGCACTTTATTCTCAGACTCCGAATGCTGCACACAGAAGGATCTGGGGAACATTCAACCCCTTTACAAGCCCTGATTTAGTGACCCCTGAGAGCTATAATAGGGCAGCTGTGCACCCAGAGTAGTGGAAGTGCACAGGGCAGCAGCAGCTGGGGCTGTTATTCTGCATCTTTCATCACTGCCACCACGTGACTGTCTGGGGCCCTTGTCCTTGTCGCCCCTCAGTTATACACCTGGTCCCGGCAGACCCAAGATTTAAGCCTTTCCCTCCCTTGCTCTTGGATTGGAGGCATTTCATGTGCCTCACCTGCAGAAGGTCACTGGCTGCCTGCTGGCACTTCTCCTCCAGCTCCCTGATCAGGTTGTTGAGATGGGAAATCTCCTCGGAGAGTTGGGTAATAGTCTCCCCCTGACTCTTCTCAGTCCCCCTCTCCAGCTTTCCCACTTCAGCCAGCAGGAGTTGCTTTTCTTCCTCCAGAAACTGGTGCAGTCCTTCAAATTCATCCACAATCTTCCGTCTCTCGGTTGCTGCCTTTTGCTGCCAGGAAAAGAGAGAAATCGTATCAGGGAGGGCAGGCCCTTTGGGGAGAGTCAGGGAATGGCTCATAAGGCCCCATGGGCCTGACTGTCTGTAAGGCTGGGACTCCCAATCTCCCGCTGTCTGGATCCCTGCCTGGGATCTCTTTATTTATATTGCAATAGTTTTCTCTGCAGCTCTGAGGGCTAGGACCTTATGGTGGGGAGAAGTTGATGGGTCTCAGCAAGGAAAGCTTCCCTCCCATCACAAGGGAGGCAGATTTTCTCTGTTTAAAAATTAAATATACACTGACATGAACCCCAAAATCACATTTTTATACACACACGCACGCACGCACGTACGCGCGCGCGCACACACACACACACACAGAGGAATCAATTGAACACAGTGTTTTATTGACATATTACAGTATTAAAGCAATTTAGAAGCCTACCAATGCCTCAATTATTATAATAAAATAAATTTTAAATAGCTATATATGATGGCCTTTGTTTTTGGTTTTTTTATCATAGAAAATCAGAGTTGCCCCTGCCCCCTTCACTCACCAGGATGGTCCAGCTGCAGCTGTCCCCCCTGCTTCGTTGTGGTGCTAATCTGCCCTGATGTGCCAGTGCTCCTGATTCGCAAGCCACGAACCCCTCAACCCTGTCAGTAGCCCTCATTCCCAACCTGCTGCCCCCTGGCCCTGCTGATGTCCCTCACTCCCGACCTGCAGCCCCCCAACCCCTCAGCAGCCCTACTGGTGCCCCTCACTCCTGATCCACTGCCCTTGGCCCCCAGGTCCCAGGCCCCCAGTGTGTGGGGAAGAGAGTGCTTGTGTGAGGCACGGGTTGTGTATGTTGGCTGGGGTGGAAGTGTGTAGGGCAGGGGGGTGCCCGACTATAGGCAATACCATAAGCATTGGAGGAGAAATGGTGGGGCACATGCGCCCCCACCCCAATTTGTGTTTTGTGCACCCACAGTAGGGCATGGGGCTGCAGCCTGGCTGGATGGTCACAGGCAGCAGCCGCCTCCATAGCCCAGCAGGCAGGACCCGGTGTGGGAGGGCAGAGTGGGGTGGTGAGACTTATAGTTTCATAGTTTCATAGTTTCTAGGGTCGGAAGGGACCTGAGCAGATCATCTAGTCCGACCTCCTGCCATGGCAGGAAAGAGTACTGGGGTCAAACGACCCCAGTAAGGTGGTCATCCAACCTCCTCTTAAAAACCCCCAGGATGGGAGCCTGCACCACCTCACTTGGAAGCTGGTTCCAGACCCTAGC